TCATAAACAACTCTATATGCTTGCATCCTATACTTCATATAAACAAGTTCTTCTAAAAAACTCAACTTTACATAATTCTCAGGTTTTAACAGATATCTCTAATCATAGCTCATCATGCAATTCTCATGCTCAAACTAATAGATAAAGAGATACTTAAAACTCAACAAACAAGCTCATACTATCATGCCAACTCAAAAACAACAACAAAGTACTATACTTCTCATCATACTCTAAATGCAAATCATGCAAGTCATGTAACAAGATATAACATGATACTATAAGTATAAATATATACTCTCGCTCTTATGTAAGAAGAAATACTTCTTTTGTGGAGGTTTCTGTTGAGTCTCTTGACTCACTTTTCTCTTCTTTCTTTCTTTATTTCTTACTTTCTGTTGAGTCACTTGACTCTCTTTTCCCTTCTGTCTTTCTTTCTTTCTTACTTTCTGTTGAGTCACTTGACTCGCTTTTCTCTTCTTTCTTTCTTTCTTTCTTTCTCACTTTCTGTTGAGTCACTTGACTCTTTTTTCTCTTCCTTCTTACTTGCTATCTTTCCTTTTTCTAAAACCTACTCATGATTCTCTTTTCTCTTCTTTGTGCGAGGCAGGTACTCCGTCGTAGCGAAGCCCTAGCGAGCGATGCAACGCTTGCAGCCGCTACATCTGTATCAACAGAACCTCGAACTCGTGGGGGAGGTAGAACCTTCACGAATCATGAATGGACCTATACGGGCTCGGCAATCTAGCCGGCTTAATACTCAACTCGCCCACAGAACCAGTATCGGGGTTCTTTAATCTTTCTTTCTTACTTTGTTTAATCTTTCTTTCTTTCTTTCTTTCTTTCTTTCTTTCTTTCTTTCTTTCTTTCTTCCTTCATTTCTTTCTTTCTTTCTTTCTTTCTCTGTGGAATCAGGTATCGTAATTTGAGGGTGCACACCCCCTAACCAGGATTCCAAGCCCGGTAGGTAGTATCCAACCTAGAAACTCGAGAATACCGACCTTGTACGTTACTTCTAAATATCTGTGTTGGTCTTCTTTGACCGTTTCTTTCTTTTCTCAAACTTTCTTTCTTTCTCTTTTCTTCTGAAAGGACATAGACCTAACGGTCCTCAAAAATACTATTTTCCTCACAAATATTGTGACACCCCAAAAATCCACACTCCAAACCATGAATTAATTGAGTAATTAATTCTATTTCTTTTGAGGAATTGATTCCTAAAATCCTGATTTTTGATACTCAAGGACCAGTATTTGACTAGTCAATCTTTAAGTGGTGTTGTACCTTGTGCTTTGAGAGGAGTTCCCTTGTTCCTTACACTTTCTAAGAGTTAGTAAGGGTATCCTTGTCTCTTCACCAAGAGCTAGTTTTGTAACCTAAACCTATAAGACTTCTTCATTTCATTCCCTTACATTTCCTAGAAAATATCTCTACCTTCTCTCTAGAAAACAAGAGTAGCTTGTTCTTCAAGCCAAAAGAAGCCTTTGTTAAGATTCCAAGTTTTGCTTCCAAGATTCAATCTTTCCTCTATTTTAGCATCTAGAAGGGTAAGATCTAAGCTTGTCTAGTCTTTTTGGTTCCATCTTAGTTGTCTTTTTCTTAAAGGTTGATCTTTATGATCTTTTGGTTTGCTCTTGAAGTGGGTTTGGCTAGTGAGCTTAGTGGAGAGCTTGTTGTGGTGTAAGAAGGGTCTTTTGGTCTTCAAGAGGTAACCCATGCTCTACAAAACCTATTTTGCTTACCTATATATGATTTCTTGGCTTCTACTTGTGTTTTGCTATGAAATGTGAGATTTTATGCATTTATCTTGTGATATTGCATATCTAGAGCTTATGTTTAGGATTCCTTTGTGCCATTGCTTGGCATTTTCCTTGGTTCAAGTCATTTTGTTGTGTTTGGTGAGATTTGGCATGTGTTGGACTTGAATTTGTGTTTGGAGGAGAAAATCCCCGAAGGGATTTGTTGTGGTACAGGGACGTACCCGCGGGCGGAACGGCGGGCGGGGCACCACCCGTCGGCCTACCCGCGGGGAACGTGTGCGCTGTGGGTTGTGTACCCGCGGGCGGGACCACGGGTGGGGCACTACCCGTGGGTCCACCCGCGGGGAACACGTTGGAGTTGAGATGGGATTTGTTCCCCGTGATTTGTTTGTCTCGGTCTTTGATCTTTTGGCTTCCCGTTGTTCTTTTGTGGAACTATTTGAGCGTCTTCTTGATGTTTCGTAGGTCTAGAGCTTTATGGTAGGTATCCATGTAGGATCTTTGGTGTTGTGAATCGTGCTAAGTGTTCAACATTGTGTTTCGTTGAACCGTGTGGTGTCTTGTGTGTTCCTCGGAACTATCTTGAGTTTCCCCGTTGTTGAGCTTGCTAGTTATTATCTTAATGCTAGCGTCGTTGTTGTTGGGTGGTTACCCGTCTCTTGATTGAGTGTGTTTCATACCTTCTTTGCAATCCGTTGATTGTTTCGTGTGAGTGGTGGTGCGTGTGTGGCTCTACCTGGATTGCACGATTAGTGGTATGGGACGCTAGTCACCAAGGTATTGCAGAGGTCCTCGTGGTGGCCGTGACGTTATTATGGAGTGTGGCTGAGTCCACGTGTTTGGGGGATAACATTGTGTTATCCGGGCATGTGTTGCCGTGAATTCGTGGGTTTTCGTTGGTGGTTATAGGTGGGGGACGACGGTCCTGGTGGAATAAGGTTGGACTTGGTTGTACAGGGGTTTTCTGGAGGTAATGGTTGGCTTCGAAGGTACAAGGATGGGGGTAGCCATAAGGTTGGAACAGGGCATAAGGAAGGCATATCAACTCGTGATGGGTGATGTCACGAGGGCTTGTGTAGCCGTGTGGTGAGTTCTCTTCTCTCGTGACGTGTGTAGTCACGGAGGCTTGTGGTGTTTTGGCATGTGTTGCCGGTTGGGTGAGTCTTTATCCTTGTGTGTGGTTAACCTTTGTGGTTGGGATGTGTTCCTGGTTTTATCCTTGTGAGTGGTGAGTCTTGTGTTGTCTTTTGATCTTGGCTTTTGACTTATAAATATGTATTCCGTTTCGAAAATGGTTTTCATATTATATATCTACCTATTTATGATACTTAACGGTATTGGTGGGTTACCAGCATCTTTCGCTGACCGGGCGTCGCCCCGATGTTTATCTTTGTATCTTTCAGGTGATGCGTAGTCGAGCGCGATGTCTAGAGCCGGTAGCTTAGCACCTGTATCTTTAGACAGTGTTGTTGAGGCATGTGTGCCAATGTCTTTAGATTGTTCTAGTTTTGTTGTTTTTGGGATAGTGATACACTTGCAGATTGTCGCCGTAGCATGTACCTAGTGTGGTATACGTGGCATAACACCCCGTTTTGGATTCCTTTTATCCAGTTATCTTTTCATCTTCCGCTGTGTTAGTGTCTTGTTGTTAATCTGCATGTGTTAAGACTTGTTTTTAAGTCGTGTTTTTGGGGGGTGTTACAAATATATAGCATATTGATATATCTCATGCAATTTCTCTTCTCATGCAACAAACTTTACTTATGCAAACCTTGTTATGCACATAAATCTAAAAATTTCTCTTTCTCCCATTTTGGAAATCAAATATCATGCAATCTTCTCAATGCAAATAGATAATGATTTTCCAAAATAGATATAGATTTTTGAAATAGATCATAGGCTATACTTAGAGCAAAAAATGCACTTTAAGCAATGAAATCTACTAACATGCTCTTTACTGTGAAATATATGTTCTAAATCCCATTCACTGTGAAATAAGGAAAATCAAATAACAATGCTCCAAAGATATAAGTTCATTTACTAATATAGTTCACAGACAACAACAATCTACAGAGTATTCATTTCTCACATTTCTAACTGTAAATCATGCTTTCTAACTCCAAATTAAACGAAACTAACTTCTACTAGTGCGTCGTAACGAGCCCGAGTATCCGAGCTTCAAGGGCCCACTAATCCCAGTCTGAACGACACGTATCTGAGCCACAGAGGGCCCAGCTTTTGCCTGGCGGAGCTTTCTGACGGGGCTTGGGAAGCCCCGCCACTTGGCTCCGCTAAGCAACGGTGCAAGGCAACGAATCATGCCTAGATCCGTTGCCTTGGTCCGCTATTCAACGAACCTGGCCAACAGATCATGCGTTGATCCGTTGGTTAGGTCCGTTGAATCTTCTGGTGCACCAACTGTGTGCACAAGACTCTCTTCTTCACCTGTAGACAAAACCAGATGCAATCCAAAACTTCTCCGTTTCTCTTGCTGTAACCGTGTTGCTTCTATAGAACTCTGCAATGGCACCACCTCTTCACCGTGCATGGACTCCGAAAATACCCACGAACGAGAACCAAGCTCAGAACCATCAGCGTCTCACTCAGATTACGCAGACTCTGAGAAAAGTTCTCCTCCACAACAACAATAATCCTCCTCCGTCACCACCGAATGGAAACCGTGACGTTGGTAGCCCAGTGTCAAGCCATCGACCTCCAGTCTTTGCCGGGGAAGAAGACTCCGCGGTCTTGAAAGAGTGGATTCGTTCGCTAGACAAGATCTTTGCGGTAGTTGGGTGTCTCGAAGAGCGTTGAGTTGGGTTAGCAACTTTCTACTTCAGTCATGAAGCGGATTTGTGGTGGGTCCACGAATGACCGGGTTGCCATGGAGAGCCGGGATTTTGTTGGGAAAGATTGAAGGACAAATTCCGTGAGCGATTCTATACCTCGCATGTCCGTGCGGCTATCTAAATAGCCGACGTTAAATACCCGACGTTATATGCGAATTCTGTAGTAGTGGTGACTAGTGATTACTAGAAGCCCTTGTTCTCTGGGGATTTTTTGGGAGAAATCAAGTAAATCGTAAACTCTAGGTTTATATACTTTGCTTTATGAAATGTGTTGTGATATTTTTTGATATGTGGTCAATATTTGCTGATATATTGCAATATATTATGCCATTAGGGTGGAAGCAGTGTTAAATCATAAACTCTAGTTTTATACACTTTGTTTTATGAAATGTGTTGTGATATTTTGTGATATGTGGTCAATATTTGCTGATTTATTGTAATATATTATGCCATTAGGGTGGAAGTAGTGTTTAATCATAAAACCTAGTTTTATATACTCTGTTTTATAAAATGTGTTGTGATATTTTGTGATATGTGGTCAATATTTGCTGATATATTGCAATATGTTATGTCATTAGGGTGGAAGCAGTGTTAAATCGTAAACGCTAGTTTTATATTCTTTGTTTTATGAAATGTGTTGTCATATTTTCTGGTATGTGGTCAATATTTGCTGATATATTGCAATATATTATGCCATTAGGGTGGAAGCAGTGTTTGGTCAATATTTGTTGACATATTTCAATATATTATGCCATTAGGGTGGAAGCAGTGTTAAATCATAAACCCTAGTTTTATAAAATGTGTTATGATATTTGTTGACATATTTCAATATATTATGCCATTAGGGTGGAAGCAGTGTTAAATCATAAACCCGGTCAATATTTGTGAGTTTGAGAAAAGGATTAGTTGGATTGCACATTAATGGCTCAACACGCCTCCTCACTTGTGCGGTGGGTTCCAAGCAACACGTGGATTGTAGTCGCTTATGGGTGGCGGTGAAATTCGAACCCATGACCTTTGGTCTAACTTTGATACCAAATTGAAGCATGTGCTCCATCTCAACTAAAAGCCTAAGCTGATAGTTGGATTGCACATTAATTGCTCAACACAATTCCTGAAACTGGATTTCTTTGTAATGTAAAATGTAATATGTAATATGTTTATGGATGTATGACCCTTAAATGCCCTTAACTGTTTGTAATATAAATATGAAATCTTAATAAATGATAACATGGCGAGCTGTCGTAGGCTCCCAAATTAAAACCTTACAAACGTAGTAGCGGGAGTAAGGATCGATCCCACGAGGAGTAACTAGTTTAACTTTTGTGCTCAAATTAAAGGTAGGGGGGTTTGGAATATATCGAGAATAAAGATAAAATAAAAGAGAATTTAAATAAACAAGAAATTTAATTGAACGAATAAAGCAATGAAAATAATATATTGAAACACTTATAATAGAAAACCTTAGTTAGTAAAGATCCACCACCGGAATTTAACACTGATCATTGATTCATAAAGTAATTAATATGCAATTGAATATTTGTCGTGAAATTATTTCATTTCCGTTTTCCCTTAGTTATAGGTAACTAAAGCACACAAGGTTTAATTACCCCTAACTACTAAATAACTAAGACAAGCGCAATAGATTTAATTTAATAGCAGCAATAGGAACTAGGAAAACCGACAAACTAAATAACACAAGCACAAGCGGTTGCATTTAATTTAGGAAAATATTCTTCCCGAGTCCAATTATCACTAAGCCGTCAATAATTAACCCAGTTGCTACTGAATATTAGAATAATTTGTAGCACAACATTATCTAATATAGCAAATAATTATATCAAGTAAATAACTAGTAGGCCTCCCTAGCAATTAAATGATACAACTATTCAAATAACTTAGAAGAATATTTAATACCCAAATGCATAAAAATTATATAATAAAAATAAATAAATAATCTTACAGAATAATCAATTCCGGGGCTTCAATTCACTAAACCAAGCTAAAGAAATTAGCAACGAATGGACATTGATAATAACTTTACAGAATAATCGAGAGGGGAAGAATGAACGATTTTTAATAGGAAACCTACACTATTTATACTACTCTAAAAATATTTTCCAATCATTTTCCTACCACCCGTTTCCTACTTTTGTGCCGCACAACATAATCTTTTGACAATTCTTGTAATGATGCCGTGGGAATAGCGCTGCAATTGACGAAATGCTTCCAATTTGTTCGCTGGTGTGCCACATGATTTGTATGAAGCTTTGCCGCACGTCCTGAAGAAGCATTCAAATAATGTTAATTATTTTGTTTCTTTTGTCTTTAGGATAGGAATTGGACTAGCTAATAATACTAATATAAAATATATATATATATATATATATATATATATATATATATATATATATATATATATATGTTTATAGGATAGTACGTATTATATATATACTAGTATGTATTATATATATTATATATTATATATTATATATAAAAAGAACTAATTATTAGATAATATTAAATAACTAATGCAAAATTATTACAAAAATGTACCTAAAATATGAGTGTAAAATATGCTGATCAAATCCCCCCACACTAAAACGTTTGCTTGTCCTCAAGCAAACTAATTATTTGCGAAGTAAATTAAAATGAAATTCCCAAAACTCATAACATATAATGAACAACAATCTGAAGCACCCTGCAATTAATAAGTTAGCACCCCCGTCTGAAAATGGAGAGAGCTAAATAAGTAAGCCCTTATAGGAATATCACTCATCACTCAAGTATTTGATGTGTATAGATTTCACTCATGTTCATTCCTATAAAATTGTTCTACCATAGGCTTGCATATCTTCTCAATCACCACTACAAGAGTCATGCATGACACAAATCATAAGGATTAGGAAATTTTTTAGGAAAGTTACTTAAACAAAAGCTTAAAATTAGAGGAGCAATTAAATACAAAGAATCCAACACCCTCAATTTCCAATCAAAAACTCATCTCATTGAGGCTCCAACATGATTATCATTCTCAAAAGTATAGAATGCTTCCTCAGTATTACCAGAATTTCCTCTTGCTTCATTTATTCAGAGGTAACTTCAGACTCAGAACAAACTGCTGATTCTTTCTCATTTTTCTCATAAAATTCAGCAACATTTTTTTTTCAACATACATTCATCATTTCTCCCATTTCTTCATTTTTTTTCAATTTCCATATTTTTTTGGAATCATGAATTGTCTTCGTTTTCTTTTTCATAGAAGACCAGCGACAAATCGGTAATGAAGATACAACCCACCTCATTCTCAATCATATTAATACAAGAAAGTGACCTCCCCACACTTCTTCCTCACAACCTCACGTAGATTACAAGAATAATTCAAAATTTGCTCCACTAGTTATTCAGCTGGGTGAAGGCATTATTTTTAGATATAAAGGGCTTATAATGTGGTTCAGGATAAAGAAAAGAATGGCCATAAAGCTCAAAGTGGGTTAACGAAGGGAAATAAATCATGGGACAAACCGGTTATTTGGCTAGTGAGGCTCAAAATCAAATAATGGCCTTAATCAGACTTGAATCATGCATGGTCTAATTAGCTTTAAAAGAGAATCAATGCAAGTTCTAGAGAAACAAAATTATGGAAGAAATCGCACAATAGAAAGAAAATAAGACCGAAGTGTCAGTCAATAGCTCAAAACACTCACATGTTTATTGCTTACTTAATATAGCCACTACATATCAAACAAGAAATGCTAACAAACTAATCACAATTTCCCAAACTATTTATTCAATCACATTATGAATTTCAGGAAAGGAATTTTTTTTTTCAAAATAATACTTATTTTGCATAAAATACTAGTAAAATATTTGTGAAAATTTTTGAAAATTTTGACATATGCAAACAAATAATAAAACTAAATTCCCTCCCCTACACTTATTATCAACATTGTCCCCAATGTTGAACAAAAAAAAAAAAGCACAGAAAAAGGGTAATTGAATGAGAAACGGGAATAAAAGAAAAAGAATGGAACAAACACACGTTAGGTTGCCTCCCAAGCAGCGCCTTTGTTTATCGTCGTTGGCTCGACTTATGATATTTCTTTAAATTTCCATCGTCTTTTTGAGTACCTTCGATGATTATGATTATTCAAAGAAATAGTCCCGTCTTGCAAATTAGTACTCAAAGATGATTTATTATTTTTTTCTTCTTTATTTTCATTAGAAGTAATTTCATCAAACGTAACAAACTTCAAAGAATCAACAAAAATTGCAAAATTATCATCACTAGGAGATTTCATGGTATCATAAATATTAAAATTCACAAATTTACCATTAAACTCCATAGTAAGCATACCACTATGAATATCAATTTTTGTTTTTGCAGTTTTTAAGAATGGCCTTCCTAACAAAATATGATTATTATTTTCCATATCAAGCACATAAAAATCAGCAGGAAAAACCAGATTATTAACGTCAACAAGCAAATCCTCAACCACACCCCTAGGATATGTAGTAGATCCATCAGCCAATTGAATTACTATAGTAGATTTACTCAGGGGTCCAAGATTTAACGATTTATAAACAGAATATGGCATCACATTAATAGAAGCTCCTAAATCTAACATAGCATTTTCAAGTTTCACACCACTTATCATGCACGGAATAGTAAACATACCTGGATCTTTGCACTTTTCAGGAAGATTGCCTTGACTAACCATAGAGACATTCTCGTGCACTTTCACTTCATCAATTCCTTTATTTTGTTTATTTTTCAATGTGCATACCTCTTTTAGAAAATTTGCATAGCGAGGTACCTTTTTCATAGAATCTAAAAATGGTTTATTGCTCTCACATTCACGAAAGGTCTCATATAAATCGTTATTTGAGTTTCCTCTTATTGGTTCTAAAAGAGCTTGAGGAAATGGGGGTACTGGTTCATAATCAGAAAAAGAAGAAAGCTTACCATGGGACATCTCTTTATTATTGACAATGATACCTGCACTTGTTTCCTTGTCTAAATCAACATTCTTTTCCAGCGACATACTTCTCACAGTAATTGCACTTACATTTTCTTTTGGATTAACCACCGTTTGGGAGGGTAGTTTGCCAGAACTCTGTGCTTCCAACCGACTAACCGTAATTGCTAGTTGGCCCATTTGTCTTTCCAAGTTTTGAATACTAGCCTTTGTTTCTTGAATACTAGCTCTTGTCTCTTGTTGGAATAGTTGTGTTTCTTGTTGAAACTGCAAAGTGTTAGTAGCAAGAGGTTTAACAATATCTTCTAGATTCATACCTGAGCTAAAGCTTTGGACCAGCTGTTGTCTTGCAGGAAATGGTTGTCTATACTGCTGAAAATTGGAACGATTCTGAACAAACTGGTTCCCGTGTGAGTTCCCATAGCTAAGGTTTGGGTGATCCCTCCATCCAAGATTATATGTATTGAAAAACGGATCATACTTACCTTGAGGTTGTCCAGGAAAACCTCCAGCCATGTTGACTTGTTCAATAGGTTCTTCTTGAAGAGTTGGGCAGGCATCAGTTTGGTGCCCAACTACCGAGCAAATTCCACATGCTTTTACAGTTTGCATATTGCATACAGCTAATTGACGAACAAGAGTAGTTAAACCAGTAATTTGTTGTTCAAGAGCAAAAATATTTACCTCATTCACTTGCTTAGACGGTTGGACAAGTATATTGCCAAACTGTTGAGAATTTGCAGCCATGTTTGCAATTAGAGTTCTCGCAGCGTCCGGTGTCTTGTCAACTAAAGCACCACCGCTTGCAGCATCAATCATGCTTCTATCCATTGGAAAGAGTCCTTCATAAAAGTATTGAATGAGTAATTGATCACTGATTTGATGGTGTGGGCAGCTTGCACAAAGCTTTTTTGAAACGCTCCCAATATTCATACAATGGCTCTCCATTATTTTGCCTTATACCACAGATTTCCTTTCTAATGTTGGCCGCCCTTGAAGCTGGGAAATATTTTTCAAGGAACATTGTTTTCAAGTTATTCCATGTGGTGATGCTCCCAGAAGGTAGATAATATAGTCAATCCTTCGCTGAATCTTTCAACGAAAAGGGGAAGGCTCTTAACTTGATTTGTTCCTCAGTAACCCCTGTGGGTTTCATACTTGAACACACCACATGGAATTCCTTCAAGTGCTTGTGAGGGTCTTCACCTGCAAGTCCATGAAAAGAAGGCAAAAGATGAATTAATCCAGATTTCAGTTCGAATTGTACATTAGCATCTAGAGCGGGAAAGGTGATGCATAAAGGTTGCTGATCCAAATTTGGAGCTCCAAGCTCTTTTAAGGTCTGATTTTGAGCCATGGGTTCCCCTTCTGAATCAGAATTGTTGGAAGGTTGAGGGTCGGTAGCCAGATCACTAAACTCCAAATTCCTCAAAGCTTGTTTCTTCCACCTGCATACAGTTCTTTCAATTTCTGGATCGTACGACAAGATTTTTTGATTAGCAGATCGAGTTATAGGCATAAACAAAAAGAAAATATATTGCAGCAATTATGTAAAGGTAACGAAAAAAAATGATTTTTTCTTAAATTTTTTCGGGACAAATGAAAAAACAAATAAACAAATAAAGAAATAAATAAATAAACACAAAATAAGCTAGAAAAGCTCCCCGGCAACGGCGCCAAAATTTGGCGAGCTGTCGTAGGCTCCCAAATTAAAACCTTACAAACGTAGTAGCGGGAGTAAGGATCGATCCCACGAGGAGTAACTAGTTTAACTTTTGTGCTCAAATTAAAGGTAGGGGGGTTTGGAATATATCGAGAATAAAGATAAAATAAAAGAGAATTTAAATAAACAAGAAATTTAATTGAACGAATAAAGCAATGAAAACAATATATTGAAACACTTATAATAGAAAACCTTAGTTAGTAAAGATCCACCACCGGAATTTAACACTGATCATTGATTTATAAAGTAATTAATATGCAATTGAATATTTGTCGTGAAATTATTTCATTTCCGTTTTCCCTTAGTTATAGGTAACTAAAATACACGCGGTTTAATTACCCCTAACTACTAAATAACTAAGACAAGCGCTATAGATTTAATTTAATAGCAGCAATAGGAACTAGTAAAACCGACAAACTAAATAACACAAGCACAAGCGGTTGCATTTAATTTAGGAAAATATTCTTCTCGAGTCCAATTATCACTAAGCCGTCAATAATTAACCCAGTTGCTACTGAATATTAGAATAATTTGTAGCACAACATTATCTAATATAGCAAATAATTATATAAGGAAATAACTAGTAGGCCTCCCTAGCAATTAAATGATACAACTATTCAAATAACTTAGAAGAATATTTAATACCCAAATGCATAAAAATTATATAATAAAAATAAATAAATAATCTTATAGAATAATCAATTCCGGGGCTTCAATTCACTAAACCAAGCTAAAGAAATTAGCAACGAATGGACATTGATAATAACTTTACAGAATAATCGAGAGGGGAAGAATGAACGATTTTTAATAGGAAACCTACACTATTTATACTACTCTAAAAATATTTTCCAATCATTTTCCTACCACCCGTTTCCTACTTTTGTTCCGCACAACATGATCTTTTGACAATTCTTGTAATGATGCCGTGGGAATAGCGCTGCAATTGATGAAATGCTTCCAATTTGTTCGCTGGTGCGCCACATGATTTGTATGAAGCTTTGCCGCACGTCCTGAAGAAGCATTCAAATAATGTTAATTATTTTGTTTCTTTTGTCTTTAGGATAGGAATTGGACTAGCTAATAATACTAATAAAAATATATATATATATATATATATATATATATATATATATATATATATATATATATATGTTTATAGGATAGTACGTATTATATATATATATATATATATACTAGTATGTATTATATATATTATTTATTATATATTATATATTATATATAAAAAGAACTAATTATTAGATAATATTAAATAACTAATGCAAAATTATTATAAAAATGTACCTAAAATATGAGTGTAAAATATGTTGATCATAACACAAACAAGTTGTAACACCCCCGATTTTTTGCATAATTTAAAACATTTTAAGCTTAATAAATACGATAAGATCTAATCATTGATTCAATAATAATGCGGAAGCTAAACATAATATTCTGGGGTGTTAAGACACACCTAAGCTAAGAACTTAGATGCACAGGCTACTAAACAACTAAACATAATCCAAAAGTAACATCTGTTTAACATAGTGGCTCACAGGCCGTCAAACTAAAGCTAGTACTAACTAAAACTAGGAACCACGACTCCGTCTAGTGCACTCTCGAATCAACTAGTCTGTACCTGAAAAACATATGGTGTAGCTACCGTTAGTGAATAATGCAAAGTAACCTACTCCCACGCGTTGAGTACAATAAGTATAGATATAAGAAAATCATTTCGAGACTTGGTAATACATAGATATAGTCTTAACAACTCTAGCTTTAAAATCTGAATATAGACTCATTGGGGAATACACCCATCAACATAACCAAATTCATGACATACCAATAGACTTGTCCTCAAGCAAGGTCATTATTAACAAAAAATAGATAAAGAAGTTAAAAATAAAATGAAGTATTTGATCGAGCTTTAACCAAATAGCCTTTCAAATTTATTTGCCTCATCTATGCAAAATTAATGTCAACTCAAGGAATGCATAAAACAATTGACTAGAAATTAAAAACTATAGCAACTAAATTAAATATAAAACGTGTGCTGTCACCCCTTGTATGAGCTATACAAAAACTCAATAAAATAAATATGAAAATTTCACAAAATATAACCTAAGCCAAATTCATAAATATTCTATCATAGTGCAAGTGAAAAACATGGAGGAAACAAGGGTCTAAGGCATTTATTAAAAATTAAAAAGCAATTGCTCGTCTATTCCATAGTTCACTCATTATTTTTCTCTTTTTGACTTTTTCCAAAGAGAACTTCCCCAAAAAAACCTCGCCATTTTACAACAGGCATGTTTGGATTTTCAATTTTGTGTGTACTCATAAACTAGACCACGACATTTATTTATTTATGGTACATCTGTAGGTGGCTGATTCAGTGGAGTAGAATCTCTGAAATTATTGCAAACAAAATAAAATGAAAAACACACTCTTTTATTTTATTTATATTTTTAAAATATTTTTTTCACCTCACTTATGCCACGAATATGATCCTTGAACCAACACAGTACACCACAATTTATAGCACTCAAGAATTGTTTAAGAATTTGAAAAATGTAATATAAAGTGAAAGATGCATATAAACTACCTAAGAAATTGTATAGAGCACATAAGGGTATTTGTAATTTTCAAATTCTATTTTTTTTTTATTTTTATGTTTTTTTTTTTTTGACAAAGTTATTTAAAATATGAAAATAAAGAAATTAACAACTAGTCACATGCAATATACACACTAAGAGTTGACAAAAACATGCATCATTTTCATCATAGGCTATTCAAAGAGCTTATTAGGTAAAAGCTTAAGTTCTTATATTTTTAAAAGTAAATTTTTTTTTTTAATGAATGACAATTTTTTTTTTCAAAAGAAAGAATGATATATATATATATATCAAAAGATTGACAAAACTTTCAAAATAGAAATCCCTTTGATACGATCCCACATCGGCTCCACAAGAGATTGTGGAGTGGTACTTAAGTTGGGGCCAAACCTCCACTCATGAGCTAGCTTTTGTGGTGGGGTTAGGGTTTTGGCTTGAGTATCGTATCAATTGGTGCTCTTGTTGAGAGGCCGGAGTGTGGTGGGAAAGGGCTACCTGGAAGAGGGCTACCCGGTGCTTGATAAGGTTCAAAGGGAACCGAGAAGAGTCCAGAGTGAAAGTTATCCAGAGTGAAGCCGTCCACTCATCCGGTGCCGGCCTAGCGGAGGGAGCGACCTAGAAAAGGGCTACCTGGTGCTTGATAAGGTCTGGAGTGAAGCCATCCAAGGGGGAAAAGGGCTACCTGGTGCCGAGAAGAGTCCGGAGTGTGAGCCGTCTAGAGTAAGAGTGAAGCCGTCCACTCATCCGGTGCCAGCCTAGCGGAGGGGGCGACCTAGAAAAGGGCTACCTGGTGCTTGATAAGGTCTGGAGTGAAGCCATCCAAGGGGGAAAAGGGCTACCTGGTGCCGAGAAAAGTCCGAAGTGTGAGCCATCTAGAGTAAGTCACCGCGAACGTCGGCTTCTCAAGGGGTGGGTAATGATACGATCCCACATCAGCTCCACAAGAGATTGTGGAGTGGTACTTAAGTTGGGGCCAAACCTACACTCATGAGCTAGCTTTTGTGGTGGAGTTAGGGTCTTGGCTTGAGTACCGTATCAATTGACCCTAACTCCACCACAAAAGTTAGCTCATGAGTGGAGATTTGGCCCCAACTTAAGTACCACTCCACAATCTCTTGTGGAGCCGATGTGGGATCGTATCATTACCCACCCCTTGAGAAGCCGACGTCAGCGGCGGCTTACTCTAGACGTCAGCGGGGTTAGGGTTTTGGCTTGAGTACCGTATCAATTGGTGCTCTTGTTGAGAGGCCGGAGTGTGGTGGGAAAGGGCTACCTGGAAGAGGGCTACCCGGTGCTTGATAAGGTTCAAAGGGAACCGAGAAGAGTCCAGAGTGAAAGTTATCCAGAGTGAAGCCGTCCACTCATCCGGTGCCGGCCTAGCGGAGGGAGCGACCTAGAAAAGGGCTACCTGGTGCTTGATAAGGTCTGGAGTGAAGCCATCCAAGGGGGAAAAGGGCTACCTGGTGCCGAGAAGAGTCCGGAGTGTGAGCCGTCTAGAGTAAGAGTGAAGCCGTCCACTCATCCGGTGCCAGCCTAGCAGAGAGGGCGACCTAGAAAAGGGCTACCTGGTGCTTGATAAGGTCTGGAGTGAAGCCATCCAAGGGGGAAAAGGGCTACCTGGTGCCGAGAAAAGTCCGAAGTGTGAGCCATCTAGAGTAAGTCGCCGCGAACGTCGGCTTCTCAAGGGGTGGGTAATGATACGATCCCACATCAGCTCCACAAGAGATTGTGGAGTGGTACTTAAGTTGGGGCCAAACCTCCACTCATGAGCGAGCTTTTGTGGTGGAGTTAGGGTCTTGGCTTGAGTACCGTATCAATTGACCCTAACTCCACCACAAAAGTTAGCTCATGAGTGGAGATTTGGCCCCAACTTAAGTACCACTCCACAATCTCTTGTGGAGCCGATGTGGGATCGTATCATTACCCACCCCTTGAGAAGCCGACGTCCGCGGCAGCTTACACTAGACGGCTCACACTACGGACTCTTCTCGGCACCAGGTAGCCCTTTTCCCCTGTGGATGGCTTCACGCCGGAACTTATCAAGCACCAGGTAGCCCTTTTCTAGGTCGCCCCCTCCGCTAGGCCAGCACCGGATGAGTGGATGGCTTCACTCTAGATAGCTTTCACTCTGGACTCTTCTCGGTTCCCTTTGAACCTTATCACGCACCGGGTAGTCCTCTTCCAGGTAGCCCTTTCCCACCACACTCCGGCCTCTCAACTAGAGAACCAATGATACAGTACTCAAGCCAAGACCCTAACTCCACCTCAAAAGCTAGCTCATGAGTGGAGGTTTGGCCCTAACTTAAATACCACTCCAAAATCTCTTGTGGAGCAATGATACGATCCCACATCGGCTCCACAAGAGATTGTGGAGTGGTACTTAAGTTGGGGCCAAACCTCCACTCATGAGCTAGCTTTTGTGGTGGAGTTAGGGTCTTGGCTTGAGTACTGTATCATTGGTGCTCTTCTTGAGAGGCTGGAGTGTGGTGGGAAAGGGCTACCTGGAAGAGGGCTACCCGGTGCTTGATAAGGTTCAAAGGGAACCGAGAAGAGTCCAGAGTGAAAGCTATCTAGAGTGAAGCCGTCCACTCATCCGGTGCCGGCTTAGCGGAGGGGGCGACCTAGAAAAGGGCTACCTGGTGCTTGATAAGGTCCGGAGTGAAGCCATCCAAAGGGGAAAAGGGCTACCTGGTGCCGAGAAGAGTCCGGAGTGTGAGCCATCTAGAGTAAGCCGCCGCTGACGTCGGCTTTTCAAGGGGTGGGTAATGATACGATCCCACATCCGCTCCACAAGAGATTGTGGAGTGGTACTTAAGTTGGGGCCAAACCTCCACTCATTAGCTAGCTTTTGTGGTGGAGTTAGGGTCTTGGCTTGAGTATGATAGGAATATTTTTGTAAGTTTTGATGAGCCAAATGTACTTTAGATCCCCTTAGTTTTTAGGTCTTTTAGTACAAGCATCATAAATCAGAATATCGAGTCAAAGGGAATCTACCATATGAAGAACAAAATTAATTTGGGAAATTAATTTTGGTCCTACGAGTATTCATCCGAGAAAGAAGCATAAAGGAATGGCGTTGCAAGAAATGACTGGATGAGCCTAACGGCAAAATGGTAGAAGTCTTTATTTAAAACGATCATACCTAGGATTGATTTCCCCCAAGGACTTATTTTTTACAAGTCAAGAAGTCATACACGAACAACGCTTTTAAAGGAGCTCGATGCGGACAAGCACAATGTCCTTAAGGAGCACAATGTGTACAAGCAAGATGTCAAGATGTGCCAAAGGACCACAATGTCTGAAAAGGAGCACAATGTCTTAAAGGAGAACAATGTGAACAAGCACGATGTGTCCAAAGGAGCACAATGTGACCAAATCAGAGAAGCACAATGTTCAAGTCAAACAAGCAAGAAGTGCCCTAGTCAAAGGAGCACAATGTGGCAAAGAAGCAAGATGATCGGAAAATGGATAAATTCGAAGGAATTTATTTTGAATTAGCCCACATGCCACAAGAATCCAAAATTGCCTGAAGATATTGATCAGAACGGAAAAATATTTATGAAGACATGAATATAAAAACTTATCCTAAAAATAAATTCTATCAGAAGAATTTATTTCAAAGATTCGTTGGAAACTCAAATTGACAACAAAAATAATATTTTAAGAAACAACTTGAAAATCAAGTTGAGATAAATATTATTTTGTCAGGCAAGTTGACAATCAAATCAAAATTGAAGATCTACTATTGTCAACAATATCAGGCTATGAAGATTCAAATTTCAAATATCAAATTATCCCACTCCAACGGATATATTTGATTGCCTATAAAAAGCCATGAAGACTTGAAGAAAGATAGAGGTGAATACAAAAAAAAATACGAACAAGTGAATACACACGAGAGAAGAAGTGCAAGTGCTCAAATATTCTTAGAGACTTTGTCAGAATAGTCTCAAAACTAGTTGGAGAGAGATACAATTACCTTTGTATTTGTAATTGTAAAAAGGAGTATAGCTGTGTGCAAAATACTCTAGTGAGTGTAGCTGTGTGCAAAATACTCTAGTGAGTGTAGCTGTGTGCAAAATACTCTAGTGAGTGTAGCTGTGTGCAAAACACTTAGTTGGCGTTGAGTATAGCTGTGTGCGAAATACTCGGAGTTGAGTGTAGCTGTGTGCGAGACACTCGGAGTTGGGTGTAGCTGTGTGCAAGACATCCGGAAGAAGTGCTTGTGTAGCTGTACAGTTCTCTTAGTTAATTGGGCATAACTCTTTACACTTATTTATTCCGCTGTGCAGTTCAAGCTTACTCTATTTACTTCCTACTTAGAGTAAAAGTTACCAAAGAGTTATTTATTGTGAAAAAGTTTGAAAGTCTATTTACCCCCCCCCCCCCTCTAGACTTTCACCACCCTATCGGGACTAACAATTGGTATTGGAGCGGTTGTCTATTTGAGTCAATTTTTGACTGCTAGACAGATCTCGAAAAATCAAAATGATGAAAAGAGATATGGCTCTTGCCCAAAATCTATTGTTTTCCTTAGAAAAACTTGATGATTGGAAAATTCGCATGCAGGTACATCTATCCGCATTACATGATGAAATGTGGGAAGTGGTTACGAGTGGTCCAATTGAGATTTTACAAGTCAACACTTCATCCGTACAAACAAGTGACACTCCACAATATATTCCAAAACCGAAAGCGAAATGGTCTCGTGAAGATAGAACAAGAAATAAATTGGACAATATTGCCAGGGATATTTTGTTTAAATCTATCGATGACACGATATTTCCAAAAGTTCGAAAATGTCAATCCGTGAAGGAAGTTTGGGAAACGCTCATTCAAATTGGTGAAGGAGACGAGCAAGAAAAGGATAATAAGCTCACCATAGCATTAAAGAAATTTGAGGATTTCAAAATGCTAAACGGCGAGAATATTACCGACATGGAAACAAGATTTGCCAAAATCTTAGGAGAGATTAATGATCTTGAAAAAGATATTAATAAAAAAGAAACCTCTCTCAAAATTCTACGTGGTCTACCATCTACATGGGACATGAAGGTCACGACCATGAGAGATCATAGGGATCTAAAAACCCTATCGACCGATAAGCTCTTTAGTGATCTAAAAGCTTATGAATTTGAGATGAAATCAAGATTAGAGGAAGATCATGTAGAAAAGAACAACGCGCTTGTCGCTGAGCAACCATCAACTTCAAGGTCAGTACAAAATGTTGAATTATTGCCTAATGATCAATTTGCTCTCTTTGTCAAGAAATTTAGGAAATTCATGAAGAGAAACAAGTACAAGTAAAATCCACAAGGGAAATCATGGAATGCTACAAAGAATTCAAAGAAAGAAATGGTAGAGGAAGACTCGAATCTGTGGTACAACTGTAGAAAGCCTGGACACTTTGCAGCTAGTTGTCCACACCCCAAGGTAAGTAAAAGTCAATATACAAATATTTCTAACTCTCAACAGGAAGAATTCAAGACCAAAGATAAAAGGTTCACAAAGGAGAGAAGAAAAGCACTTATTAGTGACCCACTTGAGATAAGTGAGTAAGAAGAATCTTCAAGTGATGAAAGTGACACCTCAAAGGATGACAATGCAATGTTTTGTATGAGTATCTCCAACAACACACCCTACGAGGACATGTGTCTTATGGCAAATGGAAATGAAGAAAATGAGGTAACATCTAACTCTTATGACTCTGTAAATTCTTCATTCTCTAGAGAGTCCTTCTTTCACTTAATGGAAGAATGTCAAACTGTAATGGACACTCACTCTCAACTCAAAGAGCGCAATTGTCTTTTGATTCTCGAAAAAGATCAAATAAATGAAAATTGCAAAATGCTCTACTTGAAGTGAAAGACTTGAAAGATAAAATTATTTGTCTTCAAGAAGAGTGTAAATCAAGGGAAGTGATAGAACACAACCTTAGAGAGGTTATAGCAACATTTACACATTCATCCAAAATAATGGACAAAATGGTAAATATGCAAAAAACCTGAAGTGATAAAACCGGACTTGGTTATGATCCATCGTGTTCTCAAGCCTCTGAGAAATTGACCAATTCTACTACCACTTTAAATAATAAAGTCCAAGTAGTAAAATTTGTAAAAGGTCAAGAAAGCACAGTGAGACAAGGAATTGGTTACCAAACTGATGTCAAAATTAATATTGTTAGACCGAAGCCTCTAAAAAACAATATTTCTCCTAAACAATATATAAAAAGACAAAAGTTTGTTCCTAAATGGAAATACACCAATGAGTCTAGTGCACAAAGACCTCATAGGAGAATGGGAAGGAATCCAAGAATTGAGGCAGGGAGATTTTATCTCTCTAAACAAGATTGGGTTGATTATATTAAACCATGGACTAAGTCCAGATTTAATGCCTATCATAGGCTCAAACAATCTACCTCCCACGTGCCAAAAAATCGAGTAAATTTTCAAAAATCGGCACAAAAATTGTTTTCAAAAATTAAATATGATTATAATGTGTTTAATGGTTACCAATAACATAGACTTAGATCAGTGAGTACAAGGTGGATTTGGGTACCAAAAATAACTAACACCCAAGGACCCAAATCAAGTTGGGTACCTAAAAATGTGTAATTTATTTGCAGGAAGTTTGGTACTTCGATAGTGGATGCTCTAGACACAAGACTGGAAATAAATCTAGTCTTGTGAATCTTAAAAATATCGAAGGACCAAAAGTCGTATTTGGTGGAAATGAACGATACGGCATAACCAAAGGAATTGGTATAATATTTCGCAATGGTTTAAAAATCGAAGATGTATCCTTTGTTGAAGGTCTAAAATTCAACTTGTTAAGCACAAGTCAATTTTGTGACAAAGGATATCTAGTAGAGTTCTTCAAAGACAAATGCCAAGTGAAGAATAATTCCTCGGGAGAAGTTGTGCTCGAAGGAATAAGGAAGAAAAATATGTATGTGGTGGATTGGAACACAACAAAAGAATCAGTGTGCCTATTAGCAAACAACTCACACGCAACAAGCTGGGAATGGCATAAGAAGTTGAATCATCTAAACTTCAAGACCATCAACAAGCTAGCAAGAAACAAACTAGTTGAAGGTCTACCCGACATTGTTTACAAGAAAGATCAAATATGTGATGCTTGCCAAAGAGGAAAGCAAGTCAAGTCATCTTTCAAATCCAAAGCTCAAGAATCTACAACAAGACCGCTAAGTCTACTACACATGGATCTATTCTGTCCAGTAGACCCAGTAAGTCTAAGTGGTAAGAAATATACACTAGTTCTTGTTGATGATTTTTCCAGGTACACATGGACGATATTTCTCAAAAAGAAAAATGAAGTGGAGCAAAAGTGGCCAGAACTGCTTAAGCTACTACAAATCGAGAAAGACTTGAAAATTGCAAAAATACAAACTGATCGTGGAACTGAGTTCGTGAATCAAGTAATTGAAGCCTACTGCAATTCTCAAGGAATTCTACATCAATTATCTGCCGCACGTACACCTCAACAAAACAGTGTAGCTGAAAGAAGAAATAGAACGCTGAAAGAAGCCGCACGTGTGATGATTACGTCAGCCGAGCTACCTAAAAGATATTGGGCTGAAACAATCAACACCGCTTGCTATACGCAAAATCGAATCTTGATACACAAGTCTTACAATAAGACTCCGTACGAATTATGGAAAGGGAGAAAACCTAAACTCAACTATTTCCATACTTTTGGCATCAAATGTTTTATTCTTAATAATGGTAAAACATATCTAAAGACTATTGATGAGCGTGCAGATGAAGGAATATTTTTGGGATATTCATCTACCAGCAAAGCATTCAGAGTATTGAACAAGAAATCAATGGTGGTAGAAGAATCAATTCATGTTAAATTCGATGAAGCTCATAAGAAGGAAACCCAGAGCAACAAAAATGATCAGGAAAGTTGTCAAGTTGAAAAATCATTTAATGATACTGACATATCTTTTAAAGATCAAATTGTACAGGGTATGGAGCAATTGGACATTGATTGCAATAGTAAAGGACACGTTGAGGCTAATAAAGATCCCCACGAGGAACATCAAAATTCTCAAGTTGAAACACAAGTTGGAGAACTATCTGATGAGCAAAATGTGTCTACCTCCAACCTACCTACTGAGCAAGGAAACGTGGAAAACCCATGCAACCTACAACCTGACTTGAGATGGCTCAAAAATCACCCTCCAGAGCTAGTGATTGGAGATCCACGGGAAGGAATAAAAACAAGGTCCTCAAATATACATACTTTATTTTCTTGTTTTCTTTCTCAGGTGGAGCCCACAAATATTGAAGAAGCTCTAAGTGAGTCAGATTGGATTAATGCAATGCAAGAAGAGCTTGATCAATTTAAAAGAAATGACGTATGGGAATTGGTTCCAAGACCCGAAAATGACAATGTAATTGGAACAAAATGAGTCTTTCGGAATAAGGCAAATGAGGATGGAATCGTCGTTCGAAACAAAGCACGATTAGTGGCAAAAGGATATTCACTAGAAGAAGGCATAGACTTCGATAAAAACATTTGCACCTGTTGCAAGACTAGAAGCCATCAGAATATTTCTAGCTTATGTCGCATACAAGAATTTCACGATCTACCAAATGGACGTGAAAAGTGCATTTCTAAATGGCTTACTTGAAGAAGAAGTCTACGTCGAGCAACCACCCGGTTTCGAAGTAAAAGGTGATATTAATAAGGTCTACAAATTAAAGAACGCGTTATATGGGTTAAAACAAGCACCGAGAGCTTGGTATGACACCCTATCAACGTTCCTAATTAACTGTGGTTTCACCAAAGGCCTTGTTGATAAAACCTTATTTAGAATTCAAGAAAATGATCACATCTTATTGGTACAAATTTATGTTGATGATATTATCTTTGGAAGTACTAATAAAACTTTATGTGAGAAATTTTCTAAGCTCATGCAGAATAAGTTTGAGATGAGCATGATGGGAGAGTTGAACTACTTTCTTGGTCTACAAGTAAAGAAACTCAACGAAGGAATATTCATCAATCAGGCCAAATATACAAAAGATCTTATAAAGAAATTTGGTCAAGATGGAAAATCCTCAATCAAGATCCCGATGAGCACATCTTTAAGATTGGACAAAGATGATGAAGGCAAGGACGTTGACAAAACAAAATATCGAGGAATGATTGGATCATTACTATATCTCACTGCAAGTCGACCAGATATATCTTACTCAGTGGGAGTATGTGCTAGATTCCAGTCAAAGCCAAAAGAAAGTCATTTTCTTGCT